GACAGCTGGGAAATGTTAACTGGTAACACTTCCTGGGAGGAAATGGGAAGCCAGAGTGGGAAGCATCTGAAGGCTGAATGGTGCATTTTGCCGTTCCCCATGCCTGTTCAGGATGCCTCTTTCTCCCTCTAGTAACCCTTTGGAATGGACAGTCAGTGATCCTTGTGAGGGGGAGGGAGGTGGTCAGCTCCAGGGCTGCAGCACAGTGAGGAAAAACACAAGACACTTTCTGGAGAGCCTGGTCTCATGGGTGCTGAACATGTGCCATTAGGCTCCAGGAGTTAGTGTGATGGAGGAGTGGAGGAGGAAAGGAGGGGCCTAAGAAGTCACAGACTCACTCCTTCCTGTACTTGTTAGGAGTTAACAGTCACCACAGAACTATAGGTCAAAATTATTCTAAAGGCAGGAAAAAAGGTATGTAAACCCAGGAAAGTAGCAGCAAAGGGTTCACTTATTAAAGAACTGTAGCATTAGGGGAGAAAATCATTCTTGTATGTGTGACTAATCATACCATATCTGTAGAAACTCTTTTTCAAGTTACAATATTTTAAGTCTTTAGGTTCTTACTCTGAGGATTGCGGTTAGAAGCTAGCCCAGGCAGTTAGTACGTGAGACTCCAAAGAACCACCAAAAAAAGGAGGAAGCGGACTTGTGGCTCAAATGGTAGCCTTGATCAAAAAAGCTCAGGGACAGTGCTCAGGTTCTAAGTTCAAGCGGCAGAACAGAAGTGCATGCATGTGAGCGTGCACACACACATACACACACACAAAGTTAATGACTTCTGGGACAGAGAAAAGGATTTTGCTTGTTCACAGTTCTTCCTAAAAGGGCAATAAATCTCTGGCTGGGGAACAGTGAGAGGCAACAAGTCTCAGTCAGAAAATATGTGAGGCAGAGATGGGAGAGGTGTACATACATGTCCTCTACTATCACACATGGGACCTTGTACAACAAAAGTAATTTCTCATGAAAATTAAATGTAATTTTCTTGGGCTTCCAAGATTCATTCAGAATTAACTGAGTGGTTATTAACTGAATTCCTTCTGGAATTCAGTCTTCAGAGGTACAGAACAGATGTTCCTAAGAATAAAAGTAGACAGAACAGAAAAGAGAAACTTAGCTTGAGTGAGAAGCTGTAGAAGCCCTTCATACAAGAAAACTTACTTGCCTCATACGGTATTTTCTGGCAGAAAGAAAGAAGGCAATATTAGAACATCTGGGGCTCAAGTAGCCTATACGCTTTGCTGGAAAAGGAAGATCTTGTTAGGGCACTCAGATATAGCAATGAACAGCCAAATATTACCTCAAAATACTTGGGTTACTGGGTTTGAACGCCGGGGATCACACTTGTTCAGCTTGCTTACTCACCTGGCTGATACGCTACCAGTTGAACCATGCCTACATCCTGACTTTTAGGAATCTCAAAGACTTCTGAACTATGTGATTTCAAACCATGAAATTCTGAATCTCCAGATACAAGTAGCTAGGATTATGTGAATTATCAGTACCCAGCTTCTTATGATCTTCCAATGAAAATTTATGATGGAAATAAAGAGGAAAGAGATTCCTTACTTTCCCTTGTCATAACTGTGTAGAATGCTTTGACCTAATATCACTGTGAGGGGGTAGGGATTCCATCTCAGGACCACCAAACATCCTGCACTTTTTATTTATTATTTTTGCCAGTCCCTTGAACTCAGACTGGGTACTGTACCTGAGTTTCTTTCAGCTCAAGGCTAGTACTCTACCATTTGAGCCATAGTGCCACTTCCAGCTTTTTTCTGTTTATGTGGCACTGAGGAATGGCAATCCAGCTTCATGCTTGCTAGGCAAGCACTTTACCACTGGAGCCACCTTCCCAGCCTCCTACGTTTCTTCTTTTATTGGTCAGTCGTGGGGCTTGAATTGTGGGCCTGGGTGCTGTCCCTTAGCTCTTCAGCTCAAGGCTATCACTACCATTTTCAGTTTTCTGATGGTTAGCTGGAGATAAAGTCTCATGGACTTTTCTGCCCGGGCTGGCTTTGAACTGTGATCCTGAGATCTTGGCCTCCTGATGAGTTAGGATTACAGGCGTGAGCCACTGGTGCCAGGCCCTTACATTTCTTTACGATACCTAACTGTAGTTTGTCAGTCAGAAGGTGCTGTACGGATAGATAGTGGTTCTTGATCATGCACACAAGGAGAAAAAAGGCAGAAGAGAGAATGTTCCTTTAAACCCTTCCTGTTCCTGATAGCAATGGATATGAGAAGACTTGCAGTGCAATAAACATCGCATGGCGATGGGCCACTGATGACCTGCAGTACTCCTCCCAACACATTGTCACCTACAGATGTACTGCCCATAGAGACAGGAGGGCATCTACCTTCTACTCTCCAGCGACATTTCTAACAATTTCAAGTCAAGATAGTTCCATCACAGAACTTGCTTCCTCATCCCATGGCATCAGAAGACTATTAAACCATTAATAACACACTTTACTAGGAAATTAGAAGAAAGAATAAGACTGAACGCTATTTTAAAAAAAGTTCAATTAGGGGCTGGGAATGTGGCTCAGTGGTAGAGTGCTTGCCTAGCATACATGAAACCCTGGGTTCAATTCCTCAGTACCACAGAAACAGAAAAAGCTGGAAGTGGCGCTGTGGCTCACGTGATAGAGTGCTAGCTAGCCTTGAGCAAAAGAAGTTCAGGGACAGTACGTGGCCCTGAGTTTAATACCAAGGATTGGAAAAAAAAAAAAAAAAAGTTCAATTAGTCTGGAAAGCCCAAAATAAAGCATCATGATATGATTTACCCAGTTTCTCTCTGAAATGTCAAATTTTCTTTTTTCTTGGCTATGGGGCTTGACCTTAGGGATTGGGTGTTGTCTGAGCCCTTTGTGTTCAAGGACAGCACTCTACTACTTTGAGCCATGGTGCCACTTCTAGTTTTCTGGTGGCTAATTGGAGATAAGAGTCTCATGGAATTTCCTGTGTGGGTTGGCTTTGAACAGCAATCCTCAGATCTCAGCATCCTGAGTAGCTATGATTACAAGTGTGAACCACCAGTGCCTGTTTTTCAAATTTCTTACATATCTGCTAAATCTTCTAATGGATGCAGAGATCAGAATAGAAATTGAAATAAAAACAGTTAAGGAATATTTTGCATCCAGCAAAAAAGAGCAGAGTCTGAGGAAAATTCTTTCTGTTTTGTATACATAAAGCACATTGTGCTTTTCCAAATATTGGAAAAAAAGGCTAAAGTCAGATCCTTTATTCCTCTTATCCAACAGTTTAGATTTCAATTTCAATTCAGTTCCAGTAAGCCAACATTAAAGACCAAGCTACTTGACAGTTACTGAATTCAAGACTGCCCCAAATGATAATTTCCTTTACCTGGATAAGGACAATGACTCAAAGAAGCTAAACTGGAGACATATGAGAATAAACCAACAACATTACAAGGGTAAGATGGAAGCTTTAAAATAGAGGGTAAGGGTAAGTATGGGAGGAAAATAGTATAAACAGTGCAAAAAAAAGGGAGTAGAATCACCTCACAGTGGGGCTGGTGACCTATCTGTATGTCCACAAACTTTCTCCAGAGATAATGCAAAAGTTCCTCCTAGAAATCTGGGTTTATGGCAACATCTTTTCTGCTCACTCTATTTTTTTCATGTAAAAGGTATGTTTTAAAGTGGCTATGAAATCAGGCAAATATGCCACTAAGCTTTTTGTAAGGACAACTCTTCCTGACCAGATTTCTCAAAAGTAATACAGATGTCAAGATCCTTTCCACTTGGCCAAAACTAACTTACCATGTAGTCCTAACATATTCATCAGGTAGTATTAAGTTGCAACTTAACACAAAGCTCTATTTTCTTCCAATAATGATGCTTCAGCTTTACATAAAGCCAGTGCTGTACACTTCTGGAACTTTGTGCTCTTTCACTTGACTTTTGTTCTTGGTCCCAGAATCTGTCTTAACAGCAGAGAAGAGCAGGGCAAGTATGATGGACCTGCAGATGAGTATATTCTTTGACTACAGAAACAATATTTTCCATACTTTCAATGTGCCAGTGAACAAGCAGGGCTTTTCAAACTTTTCTTTCAAGTAAAGGGGTACCTTAATAGCCTCAACTCTGGCAATCTTAATCCATATTCACTAATCAATCTAAGTTTTATTGTCAATTTGTTCAGGCACTTAAAAAACAAACAAAAAAAACAACATACTTTAGAGCAGATGGCCCCTAAATATTTCTTCTTCAGTTTTGTTTGAATGAGTGACTTGGGGATCTAAATACTATCAACCACATCTGGAAGTACATATGTGTGTGCATGTGTGTTTCTATGTATGAGGTATAGCCAGGAGAATAAGTCTCACATTAATGGTCTATTCTTGCTAGGTACAGTGGTATAGGCTTACAGTAGTCTCAGCTACTCAAATACTGAGGCAGGACAACCACTTGAGCCTGGCACCAGTGGCTCACACTTGCAATCCTAGCTACTCAGGAGCCTGAGATCTGAGGCTAGTGGTTCAAAGCCAGACTGAGCAGGAAAGTCTGTGAGACTCTTATCTCCAATTAACCAGCAAAATGCTAGAAGTAGAGATGTGGCTCAAGTGATAGAGCACTAGAATTGAGCAAAAGAAGCTCAGGGAAAGAGCTTAGGTCCAAAGTTCAAGTCCCCAAAAGTGGCTAAAAAAAAAAAAAAAGCTAGGCATAGGGGTACATGCCTATAATCCCAGTACTGGAAAGGATGAGGCAAGTGTTTTGCACATTTCAGGCCAGCCAACGCTATGTACTGAAAATTTGTCTCAAAACCCAAAAAGAATAAAAGAATAATCCCTATAAAGTACTGTGAATTAGAGAGAAAGAAGGGAAAAGACCAATGTTTTTTCTTTGTTTTGGGGAGTGGGAAGCAGTACTATGGTTGAACTTAAGAACTTCATGCTTGATAGGAAAGTGCTCTACCATTTCACACACATCCTCAGACCTTAATCTGAACTTTTAATATGGAATAACAAATTGGATTTAAAATAATTTAATATGACAAATAATGATGGGTATTACAGACTTTTTATCTGATTGCTCTCTACACACCAATGGAGAAATAAATCATTTTTTATTTTTACATATGTTGGAAGAACCAAGACCTGCAGCATTAAAACAAGACTTTTTACAATCTGGATCATGTGGAAGAGATCAAGATCTTAGACCATGGTAGACTGCACATTAATAGCCTAAAAGATCCTCTTCCCCAATCACCCTATTGCAAAAAAAAAAAGTCACACCAGTTTTCTAACCTTGGGGTTTAAAAATCTTATGCTTTAGAAACTCTATTTCCCTCATCTTTATGATTTCTTTTTGGAAGGTGAGCTTCTTGGCTCTGAGACAGGAACACTAAACTCCTACCCTTAGCTCTGCTGCCCAGTTTCAAGGCTAGGCAGAGACACCTAACCTACTTCCTCTCAAGACTTTAAAGCTGCACCAATGCCTTCAACTGGCTGCTTTTATATTCCATTCACAGGAAGTCTGGAGAAGAAGAGAGATACAGCTGACAGCTCATGTCCTTTGAGGTGAAAACAATAGATATGATACTGTTAACACTGACATACAGATAGCCAGCTATTAAATGGCATTCTTGTATCCCTTGATAAGCTGTAACAGGGGAAAGAAGGAGAAACCAACTGGCTAGACAGCACAGACTTCTACTGAAGTCAATAATCTCAGTGACAGAGGTCTAGGTTTCTGTGAACACACGGTGATGTTAATCATTAATGTCCGAGCTTGGGTAGTAAGGACTTCCTGGCTCAGTTTTGGGATATGCCACCTACTATTTAATAATAACAAAACATTTCTCTCTTTTCTTAATAGGTAAGTGGGTTGACACAGGGAAAATGTGCAGGGGGAATACTGGGCACATCATGCAAATTATTTTAGATCAAAAGATATAATAGAAACCAAAAGGCAAATTCTGTTTTCATCAAAATAGTTTTAACTCTATTTTTTTCTCTTAACTTTCTTGCTTTTGTTTTCTTTCAAATTGGCAAAGATTCAGGCAGGGTCAGTCCCCTAATCGTAAAATATAGAATTAAAAAAATATTTATTGATGTTTTTCTTAAAAGTGTTTGATAACCCCAACTAATCATCCAAAATGCAAACTGTAAACACAACAGCAAAGAGTAACAGATGAGTGTGAGTAGGTAGAGTGAACAAGTGACAAGCTGAGCCAAGTGGAGAAGGGCACAATGGAGAATGGAAGACAGGTGCACAAATGTGATGCAGACAGTGATAACTTGAGTAAGTAATCACGTTTGGACCACAGCAATTTCAATGCAGTCATTTAGAAACTTCTGGGCCAAATACTACCACCCAAGGAATGGATGAGCCTTCTTTGTGAGCATGCTCAGCATGTTGGCATGGAAACAAGGAAGCACAGAAGCTCTGTAGTCATCTTACAATGGATGGCTACCATTTCTACAATGCAAAGAAATTTTCTTTCTGGTCCCTGGATATATCATATATTGTTTTTCCATGCTCTTCTTGACCCTGGAGGACTGCCCCCAGAAAACCCCTTAACAAAATAAACCACAGTAACAATAACACTGGGTTTGCTGGAATGCCCCCTCCCCTCCACCTGGCCTATGATTTTCTTCTGGACACATCCAACAGGAATGCTGTTTTACCAATTCATTTGATAAAGTCAGCTTGAACTTCAGTCCCATGTTCATGGAACTATAGTGGATGGGGGTGAGGGTGTGTATGCTTAGTATGTGTGGCTCTGGGGATCTGGACACTCCCTTGCTTTGTAACCCTTGCCCAGAATGCTGGGACCGCTTCCACTGGAGAGACTCCACGGTAACGCTAGAAGTGTCATTTAATACTCAGTTTACCAAGGTTGACCACCTCCATTGTCATAGGATGATGCAGCATCTGCAGAAGCGCTGTCTGCTGCCCCCTACTGATGGGGGTGGAGTGACAGGTGCGAAGTAGGCGTGGACTTTAATATTGGGTAAATGGGTCTGAAACAAGACAAAAATATTACTAAGAGAGAGGGCTTAAACAGAAAGAGTAATGTTTCTCAGAAAAACTGCTAAGGGGCTGAATGGACATGAAGCAGGCTAGAGGCTGAGCAGTAGTCAGGATGTTTAGAGGCCTATATTTCTACTTGTACACTTTGGTACCTTTTTTACATAATAAAAATTAAAAATAATATGTTAATTTCTTATTTTGTCCTATAGGTATGTTCAATTGGATTCCCATAGTTAGAAGAAATCATGAAAGTTTGAAATAATTCTGTTTCTCATATTAAAAAAAAAACCTCAGCATCACTGTTTTACAACATGCTAATTCCATAGTCTTTACTACTACTGCTAAATGTCTGTGTTCAAGGCAATCTGCTATTTTCTTAACAAGTGAGTTGGGTATAAATATGGTCAAGCTACTTAAACAACTTATAGTCTAGACATGAAAATTAAAGTTGAAAAGTTCTAAGTGACTTGAACAACAAATCCATCTCATGAAGGTTCAGAGCTAGAAGTGATTCCTGACAGGCAGGCAGGTTCAGAAACCTTAGTATATTGGCCATATAAAAAGGTCTAGTTAGCCTGTCTCTAGTCTAGTTTCCTGCTCTTTTGATCCAAGGGCTCTACTAGATGTATACTCACAGCCCTCTCTATCTGAAAAAAAGAGGAGGAACTAAAGTCAACTGTAACTCAAGAAGAGGTTTGGTGCTTCAATATTTATTTGCTCAAGGCCATATGATCAACATGGATTTCTTTTAGAGGTGAAAAATCTAACAAACAGATCCATCCAGCTTTTTATGATTTCTCTGCTGGGAATCTGAACTGTTACTCCTTTTCCATGGAAGATGGGGCCAAAATGCAAAAATTGACATGATTCTTTTTAAATAAAAAAAAAAAAAAATCAGGTATTGCTAGACAAACTCTGCTAGGAGAAGACATACTTTTCTTCTCTTCAGGATTTTCCTACTAGTTTCTACCTAGAACCAAGACTAATTAACTTATGTTAGAACCAAGACTAATTAACTTATGTTTGTTTGCTCTCCAGTATTTCCCCTTGCTAAATGTCTTAAGTTAAAAAAAAAAAATCAGAGGAATCTCAATCTGAGGAGAAAGAAAAGAGAATAATGGGGACTGAGAATACCAAAGCTGGAGAGTGACACAGCACTTTACCCTGAGTCTCTTGATACCAGCCCGTGTGATTTGCTGGCAGTCATAGAGTTCTATCCGCTCGAGGCTGTGACAGCTCTTCAAGTGCTCCAGGGATGCATCTGTGATTAGTGGGCAGTTGTCGAGCTCAATCACTTCCAGTTGGTCATGGGCACAGGCCCCATTCCCCAGGTGACGAATTCCATCGTCTGTGATCAGCTCACAGTGAGATAGACTCTGCAGCCAAATAGAGCAAAGCATGATGAAATATCTTCTGGTATTCCTCTAGCCAGAGACTTGTATAAAAACGGAAAGATGACCTTCATGGTTTGATTTTGGTGAACGTGGAAACATCACTAGATCCACTTATGATGAAATAAAAAATGTAGTTGGGCGCCAGTGGCTCATGTCTGTAATCCTAGCTACTTAGGAGGCTGAGATCTGAGGATCACAGTTCAAAGCCAGCCCTGGCAGGAAAGTCTGTGAAACTCTTATCTCCAATAAAACACTCAGAAAACTGGAAGTGGTGCTGTGGCTTCAGTGGTAGAGTGCTAGCCTTGAGCTGAAGAGCTGAGGAACAGCGCCCAGGCCCAGAGTTCAAGCTCCATGACCGACAAAAAAATAAAATAAAATAAAGAATGCAAACTAAAGCTGGGTGCCAGTGGCTCACGCCTGTAATTCTAGCTACTCAGGAGGCTGAGATCTGAGGATCATGGTTCAAAGCCAGCCCGGGCAGGAAAGTCCGTTAAACTCTTATCTCCACTAAACCACAGGAAAACTGGAAGTAGCGCTGTAGCTCAAGTGGTAGAATGCTAGCCTTGAGCTGAAGAGCTGAGGGATAGTGCTCAGGCCCAGAGTTCAAGCCCCACAAGCGACAAAAAAAAAAAAGATTGTAAACTAGAACAGTTGGGTTCATGCCTGTAATCTCTGAGCATTGTGGTTTGAAGCCAGCCCAAGCAAGAAAATCTGTGAGACTCTTTTCTCCAATTAACCACCAGAAAACAGGAAGGTGCTGTGAAAGTAGTTGAGTGCTAGCCTTGAGCGCAAAAGATCAGGAATAGCACCCAGGCCCTGAGTTCAAGCCCAACAACAACAACAGCAAGAGGAGGAGGAGGAGGAAGAAGAAAGAAAGAAAGCCAACTAGAGTTGACATTAATTATTGATTTGGTTTTGCATAATTCTAAATATGTTTCCTGAAATCATATAGTGACTTTGGATTACTTCATAAAGTAAGACAGCCCTAAAAACTACCCTCTTCTCAAATTAACACTAACACTTTTCCTTTTTTTTTTGGGTCCGGTAGAGGGCCTGAACTCTGGGCCTGGGCACTGTCCCTCAGCTCTTCAGCTCAAGGATAATGCTCTACCACTTGAGCCACAGTGCTACTTCCGGCTTCTTTTTTCCGGCTTATGTGGTGCTGAGGAATCGAACCCAGGGCCTCATGCATGCAAGGCAAGCGCTCTACCACTGAGCCACCTTCCCAGCCCGACACTAACACTTTTCAAGGACAAGTAGGGTCAAGCCTTTTCAAACACAAAATTCTCTGGAATTTGAACTAAATACTGAATACCTGATGCAAGGGCAGAACCAACAGCAGATACTAATTAGCTGAGGAAAAAATTTATAGCTGTCATTGTGGTCATCTCACACTTAATTTCCTCATCAATTATCCTTAAGTATCTGGTTCTGGGAAACTCAGATCCCTTGACCCAATTTTAGATAACACTGCACCACCAAACATACCACAACTGTTCTGTATTCTGTCCTGGATACAGAATAGCTATCTAAAATGTCTTCCTAAGGAATCACTGAAAGTAGAAGAAAGAAAAATCCCACTGCAAAATATCAACTGCTCTGGAATTTTTGTTGTTTAGTTTTGGTTTTTTGAAACTGCTTGCTGTATATATAGCAGTCTTGTCTTGAATCTTTTTTTTTTTCTTTTTTCTTTTTTTGGGTCCGGTCGTGGGGCCTAAACTCTGGGCCTGGGCGCTGTCCCTCAGCTCTTCAGTTCAAGGCTAGCGCTCTACCACTTGAGCCATAGCGCCACTTCCGGCTTTTTTCTTTTTGCTTATGTGGTGCTGAGGAATCGAACCCAGGGCCTCAGGCATGCAAGGCAAGCGCTCTACCACTGAGCCACCTTCCCAGCCCCTTGTCTTGAATCTTTCTGAATCAGCCTCTTGAATAAATACTGAATTCACAGGCATGTACCACCCATGCGTTGCTTAGTACTTTTTGATTAAATGCGATAAACTTTTTGAAGGCCAAACTTACCAATACTTGAAGTCGAGGACAGTGTATAGAAAGCTGGATTAATGTGCTATCTGTTATCTGAAAGAAACATGTAAGTTTGTTTTATGTAAAAATGATACCATGGGTTGCATCTTACTCCTGATTATATTTCTGTCTAAACATGATCAAAGGACAGGGTTCAAACTTAATAGTGTAAATTACTTGTTCAATGGGGTTCATGGCATTTTCATCATACATATAATGTACTTTGTCAAATATAGCCCCTCTTTCAAACCACCTCTTAAAAACCTTTTTAGGGGGTCATTATATATAATTTTAGGGTTTAAGCCCCACAGGCCTACTATGCCTTTTCTGTAGGAACACACCCAGGCCTTTTTAGTCTTATCTTTGGAAAATCTTTGTTCAAAATTCTGTTGTCTTGAAATGAATCAAAATCTGTCCCCTTAGAACATCCACTAGACCATGTCCTGCTTCCTTAGTACTACAAATAATCAGAAAACATGCTCCATGAAAAAACTAATGTCAGAGCATCCTCAGGTTTATAGATATGTTGTGGAGTTTATAGATAGTTGCTGTATATACATATATGCACACATATATATGTATATAAATAAATATATGCATGCACTGGGGTTTGAACTCAGGGCCTTATACTAGCTAGGCAAGCATTCTACTACTTGAGGCCCACACCTAGCCTTTTTTTTTTTTTTGTTGGTGATGGGGCCTGAACTCTGGGCCTGGGTGCTGTCCCTCAGCTCTTTAGCTCAAGGCTAGCACTCTACCACTTGAGCCATAGCTCTACTTCTGGCTTTTTCTGCTTATGTGGTGCCCAGGAATCGAACCCAGGGCCTCATGCATGCAAGGAAAACACTCTACCACTGAGCCACCTTCCCAGCCCCACCCAGCCATTTTTTAATAAAGCATATCATAAATCATAACATGGATATAGTTATATTTCCAAGGATGACAGACAAATACTGCTAAAACTGGGGTAGGTTATAAATATTCAGTGAGCAAGGACGGTCTTTCGTAGCTATCTTAGGACTGAAAGTAAACCAGTGCTTCTTTTCAAACTCTTCTCCAAATTTTATTTCTATTACAGAGCTTCACAGTGGCTAAGAAGTGATAAGTGGAATAGGTAGACATGTCCATTCATAAGGACTAACATTGGAAAGGACATAGTGGACACTCATGCATATATAGAAATATAGACATGAAAAGTTTTAACTTAAGGGCTGGGAAGGTGGCTCAGTGGTAGAGTGCTTGCCTTGCATGCATGAGGCCCTGGGTTCCATTCCTCAGCAACACATAAGCAGAAAAAGCCGGAAGTAGAGCTATGGCTCAAGTTGGTAGAGCGCTGGCCTTGAGCTGAAGAGCTGAGGGACAGTGCCCAGGCCTAGAGTTCAGGCCCTACTGCCGGACCCAAAAAAAAAAAAAGTTTTAACTTAAGAATTAAGCTGGGTATGGTGGCACATGCCTATAATCTTAGCACTTGGGAGGCTGAGTCAGGAAGATCTTAACCAGCCTGGGCTACACAGCAATAGATTATTTTAAAAACAAACAAAAAAAGCAGATAAGAATGAGAGGGATTAAGCTAGATGCTGGTGAATCACATCTGTAAAGTTAGCTACTCGGAAGGCTGAGAGCTGAGAATCACGATTCAAAGCCAGCCAAGATAGGAAAAACCACTACACTTTTATCTTCAACTAACCACCAAAAAAGCAGAAAGCAGAGCCATGACTCAAGTGGTAGAGTGCTAGCTTTGAGCAAAAAGGCTCAGGAACAGTGCCCAGTCTCTGAGTTCAAGCCCCAAGACTGGCACATTAAAAAAAAAAAGGGGGGGGGGGGGCTGGGAATGTGGCTTAGTGGGAGAGTGCTTGCCTAGCATGCATGAAGCCCTGGGTTTGATTCCTCATAAACAGAAAAAGCTGGAAGGTGCTGGGAAGATGGCTCAGTGGGGTACAGTGCTTGCCTTGCATGCATGAGGCCCTGGGTTCCATTCCTCAGCACCATATAAGCAGAAAAAGCCGGAAGTGGCGCTGTGGCTCAAGTGGCAGATTGTAAAAGCTCAGGGCCATTCCCAGGCCCTGAATTCAAGCCCCCGTACTGGCCAAAAAAAAAAAAAAGAGTGGGTACAGCTTCTCTCAGGGAGAGACCTGGTTTCACCCTTCATATTTGACTCTGCTCAGCTCAAAGGAGCAGTGGCTAAAACTTACTGGAGTTTGAAAGCCCAAACTATGGATTAACCTCGGTTATTTATGTCAAAAAAAAAAATTTTAGGGCTGGGTGGGAATGTGGCGTAGTGGTAGAGTGCTGCTTAGCATACATGAATCCCTGAGTTCAATTCCTCAGTACCACATAAACAGAAAAAGGCCAGAAGTGGCACTGTAGTTCAAGTGTCCCTTCAGCAAAAAAAGCACAGGGACAGTGCTCAAGCCCTGAGTTAAAAGAAAAAATAGCCAGGCGCTGGTGGCTCTCCTCTGTAATCATTAACTACTCAGGAGGCTGAGATCTGAGGAAAACAGTTCAAAGTCAGCCCGGGCAGGAAAGTCCATAAGACTCTTTTTGTTTGTTTGTTTTTTGGGTCCGGTCGTGGGGCCTGAACTCTGGGCCTGGGCACTGTCCCTCAGCTCTTCAGCTCAAGGCTAGCGCTCTACCACTTGAGCCACAGCGCCACTCCGGCTTTTTTCTTTTTGCTTATGTGGTGCTGAGGAATCGAACCCAGGGCCTCAGGCATGCAAGGCAAGTGCTCTACCACTGAGCCATCTTCCCAGCCCCATAAGACTCTAATCTCCAATAAACCACTAGAAAACTGGAAGAGGTGCAGTAGCTCAAGCGGTAGAGCACTCGCCTTGAGCTGAAGAGCTGAGGGACAGTACCTAGGCCCACAGTTCAAGCTCCACGACCAACCAAAAAAATAATAATAACAATTAAGTAAAATAATTTCAAAAGTAGCTCTACCTGAACAGAATCAATTATAGAGAAGGGAATTACTGGTTGTAAAGGTACTTGATAAAGAGCTACAGCTGGGTGCCAAGCTTTTTCTGTGTATGTGGTGCTGAGGAATCGAACCCAGGGCCTCATGCATGCAAGGCAAGCACTGTACCACTGAGCCACCTTCCCAGGCCTGCACTCATTATTATTATTTTTGTGTGTTGGTCATGGGGCTTGAACTCTGGGCTTGGGTGCTATCCCTGCTCTCTTCAGTTTCATGCATGCTAGGCAAGCACTCTACAATAGGCCACATTCCCAGCCTTTCTTTCTAAAGATAATATAACTGGTAGCATATAGTTTCATTTTTGCTTTTTTGAGATAGAGTCTTGTAATACAGCTGTCCGACTGGTCTGGATCTTGCTATATGGTCAAGTCTGGCCTGGAGCCTTGAGACCCTCTTGCTTCCACTTCTCCAGTGCTCAGATTATAGGCCTGAGTCACCATATGAAAGTTTCCTCCACCCTTTTGGTACTGGGGATTGAATCTAGGGCCTCACATATGTTCTCCTGTACCTGGAAGGCATCTAAGTAAATAATTAGCAGTGCTATCAGGCACTTCAGAGTCCTATATAAGAGGAGGGATGTGCATGTTCTGAGTTTCTATCACTATAATTGTGAACAAAAATCCACAGTATTACCTGAACACATTCTTCCAGATCCATCTTTTCAAGCTCATGGCAATTCTACAAAGTACAAAACCAGAAAATACAGTTCAGAGTTCTAAAACATTTGAAAATTTTTAAGGCCAAAAATCTAAGAGGTAGTATTAAACATACTGATGAAAGCTTAAAATGTTTCAGAATTGTCATTCAGTGTCATCTTCTACTTATTCTATTAGTAAAACATTGAAAAGGCTTGAGGGTGTGAATGGGGAAATTTTGATCATAGTGAAACTCTCAATTATTCCACATTTCAATATTGTAGAGTAATTAAATATTTAAGCACTAAATATTTAAGTAAGTACAAGGGAGTAAGTTTGCTGAATATTAATACAGGGCTAATATAGAAATTTTTTTAAATCAGAAAGAGTTAAATGAAAATTTTATCTCTAGAAGAGAAAAGACAAGCTTTATTTATATTCTCTTTTTTTTTTTTTTTTGGTCATGGGGCTTTAAACTCTGGGCCTGGGTGCTGTCCCTCAGCTCTTCAGCTCAAGGTTAGTGCTCTACCACTTGAGCCACAGCGCCACTTCCTCTCCTTTAGTTGGGTATGCTGACCTTCACCCAATCATTACTCTATCCATCTCTCCGAAAGTAAATGACATTCTCTCTGTTCTATAACATTGGTCAATCAGTATAATTTTTAGTATTATTACTATATAATGATACATTATTCAAACTACTAAAACCTAAGAGAACACAAAAAATCTCTTAAAAACCAATAAAGCTGGGTACATATCTTTCAACATTACTCTCACCTATCAGTCACATACTAAATACAAGTTTCTTTAATAAAGCACAAAGCAGTTCCTGTTTACTTTAAATTACCATCTAAAGAAACTATAGAGGGGCTGGGAAGGGGCTCAGTGGTAGAATGCTTGCTTTGCATGCCTTGAAGCTCTGGGTTCGATTCCTCAGCACCACATAAGCAAAAAGAAAAAAGCCAGAAGTGGCGCTGTGGCTCAAGTGGTAGAGTGCTAGCCTTAAGCTGAGGGATAGCGCCCAGACCCAGAGTTCAAGCCCATGACAGACCAAAGAAAAAAGAAACTATGGAGAACTCCAGTCTCTCCAAAGAGTATTATATTTCCTAACCTTTCCAGAACAGTTTATATTTCTAGTGGCATTAGCAGGTCTGTAGGTGTAACATAAGAATGCTCAGAAAACTAGCAATAGAGAGCCCCCTAATTGTGCTGTACTGCTACATTTCCCTTCCTGCATATCCTCCTGAACTAATGCTTCCTGCCCACCTACCTGCCTCCCCCTCTCTCTCTCCCGGAAAAACAAACAAACTTTGGAAACAAATATATAGAAATTGGAGAAAACGCTTACCCTGGCTAGAGTAGTAAAACCCACATCTGTTAATTGAGAACATCGTGCCACTTCTAATATTCTGTTAAAAAAAAAAGTGTAAATCAAGCTCTTGTTTCCTGAAAATGATTCTATTAAACCAGGAAGAATGGAAGAAAACAAATATCCTACTCTCTAAGGATTTCATAATATAGAATGACAACAACAGCTAAGCAAGACTGTATATAGTTCTTGCTATTTATTTTCATGAAGTCATCATAAAGTGGTCCCATAAATACCACTTGTCAGGGAGATATAATCAAAGAACACAGAAGAATATAACTGAAGCCTGTAGTTAATGCCAAAATGCATTAAAACCTTCTTGATGGCATACTGCTTACCCCCAGAGGGCAGCCTGCTCCTAGAAAACAAAGGAAATGGAGATAAATACTCTATTTCAGTTAATTTGTTGTTGAAGTAAATTATTTTCTTTTCCTGTTTTACATGTAGGTTCACATAGATTTAAACAGCTTTTTAAAAATGCAACTGAGGGACTGATTAATTGGAAGTCTGCCCCAAATATGCAATTCCATATATATGAACACATTCTGCTTTCTCCTGTGGAGGCCCAGTGGAGAGGGCAGCTCCCTGGCAGCTACTCTCCTATTTAGTAACTGCTGAACACCAACCTAAATACCAACCACAGCACTGGGGAATCTCAATTAGTTATTTGCTGTGAAAAAAATCTAGTGGCCTCTGTACTTACTATACAATGGTACCAAAGAACATTTACCTGCTTCCTTACAAATTATGACCAAACTTTAAAGATTAAAGCTAACGTATAAAAAAATCATAATCAGCTAAAAAGTATTTTGAGATGAATCCTATAACCAATGGGAAAGCATAGTCTAATTGAGACACAACTTATGATATTCACATTTGAGAGTATTCCCATTCTAGAGGAATAATGATACAAACAGAACGTTGGTAAAGCCATATAAAATAGAGTATGATTATTATTTTTTGAAAGAGGTCTAATTACCTCATTAGTTCCTGAGAAGTACTCTACTCTAGGCATCTGATACTGCTGCTTGTGACCAACTGACTGCTGGTGAATGCTCTTTTTTTTGTTTGCTTTGTTTGCTGGTCCTGGGGCGTGAAATCTGGGCCTAAGCCTTGTCCCTGAGCCACTTTGTTCTCAAGGCTAGGGCTCTACCGCTTGAGCCACAGGGCCACTTCTGGCTTTTTGAGTAGTTTATTGGAGATAAAAGTCTCACTGACTTTTCTGCCCAGGCTGGCTTCTACCCATGTTCCTCAGATTTCAGCCTCCTGAGTAGCTAGGATTACAGGCATGAATCACTGGCAGGCAGCTTCACGCTAATGCTCTTATAATAACAATTATAGTTAGGTCTATTATCCAATTAGCAAAAAAAGATGTTTTTAGAAGGTTTGGTAATTACTAAGGTAAGAAGTAGTTTCACAGGCTCTGGTGAAAGACTGCCTGGCTTTGAATCCTTGCTTCTGCACCTTCAGGTGTGAAATTTAAGCAGATTACTTCACCTCTCTTGTACTTTGGCTTTCTCATCTATAATATGGAGACAATAAGGGTGCTTATATGATGTTATGGAAATTAAATGCGGTAATATTTGTAAGGAATCTAAAATAATAAAGGCAAGTGGGGATCATTTCTATGCATCACAGAATAATGTGTTGTGTCCTTTTTGGGTCTGCATATATGTATATACACACACACATACAGCTGGTTGTGGGGCTTGAACTCTGGGCTTAGGCCCTATCCCTCAGCTCTTCAGTTCAAGGCAAGCGTTCTACCCTTGAGCTACAGCACCACTTCTAGTTTTCTAGTGGTTTACTGGAGATAAGAGTCTCTCAGACTTTCCTGGCCGGGTTGGCTTTGAACCATGATCCTCAGATCTCAGCCTCCTGAGAACCTAGGATTACAGGTGTGAGCCACCGGTGCCCGGCCGTGGGTCTGTATATTAACACAGAACTCTTAGTAACATAAAATCTTTTCTAGTTCAAATATCAAATTGTTGTCTTTTGGCTCATGGCAAAGAAGAAACCAAAATATAAATCATGTGGTAGCTATCTAGAAGGGCAGTGGTATTATAGTGTCAAAATTTCAAAGCTACAAGGCATAAATATGGATAAGGAGGTTTTCCTTTTCCTTTTTTTTTTTTTTTTTTTTGGTGCTGGTTCTGGGTTTGAACTTATGGCCCAGGCTCTGCCCCTAAGTTTTGTGCTCTACTACTTGAGACACAGCTCTATTCTGACTTTTTTGATAGTTAAAGAGTCTCACTGACTTTCTTGCCTGGGCTGACACTGAACCATGATTCTCTGATCTCAGCCTCCTGGATAGCTAGAAATATAGGCATCAGCCACCAGTACCTAGCTTCCTTGATTTTTTTTTTTTTTTTTTTTTGAGCTAAATAAGAAAAGTTTACCTAAGCCGAGGGCAGTTCTGACCTAGAGCATTCAAGATGGCATCTGTGATGTTGGAGCAGCCAGAGGCACAGAGGGACTGCAACTTATGGCACCCTCTGCAGATAGTAATAAGACCTTCATCTGTGATTTGCTAAAAGAGAGAAAGGGGGGAGGGGAGAAATCCAGAGATATTAGTCACTTAGCAGAAGAAAAAGGGGAAAAAAATAATTCAAAGGGTATTTACTGCTTATCTATCGGTCAGTAGTTTTTCATAGGGTGACCTTAGTAGGTCACACTAACACATCTTAACTGGTTATAAAGTATGATTGTAATATTATTTTATTTTTGGTGCTGGTTCTGAGGCTTGAACTCAGGGCCTGGGAACTGTAACTGAGCTTTAGTGCTCAAGGCTAGCATGATAACACTTAAGACACAGCTCCACTTCCAATTTTTTTGTGTTTAATTGGAGATAAGAGTTCCATGGACTTTTCTGCATAGGCTGGCTTCAAACCGAGATCCTCAGATCTCCAGAGTAACTAGAATTACAGGCATGAGCCACCTGTACCCGGCTTGATAATGTTAATTTTAAATACTGATGTTTTCTTTTAGTAAGTGGACAATCTCTTTTTCCCCATGACCTAACCCTCCCCTTTTGGTGATATTAGAGATTAAATTCGGGGCCATTTTAGTCATATCTTTAGTTCCATTTTGCTTTTTTTTTTTTTTTTAAGGTCAGTAGTGGGGCTTGGGCACTGTCCCTGAGCTCTTCAGCTCAAGGTTAGGACTCCACCACTTGAGCCACAGCACCAATTCTGGTTAATTGGAAATAACAGTCTCATGGACTTTCCTGCCTGGGCTGGCTTTGAACCATGATCCTCAGATCTCAGTCTTCTGAGTGGCGAGGATTACAGGCATGAGTCAGCGTTGCACTGGTTTTTTGCGATAGTATCATGCTTCATGCCTAGGCCAGCCTGAGCTGCCATCTTCCTACCTGTGCTTCCCAGATTCACTGGAGATGACAGGCATGCACCACTGCACCCAGTCATTGTGCTTCACTGGGATATCAGGCTACAGGCATCTTACTCAGCCACTGGTTGAGATGGAATCTTTTTTATGCTTGGATGGTCCTCCCCCTATTTCTGCCTCCCAAGTAGGCTGAATTACAGACTTGAACCACACTGCCAGCCTACAGTTTTTTTTTTAAGTAGATAAGGGTCATCAGTGTGTCTCCTATATTCCTAAAGTTATAGTGGGAAAATCATAGGTCAAGATGAAATTCATAACATTATGAGAAGAATTATTAATTACAAAAGCATTGAGGGAAGGGATGCTTACTAAGCAAGTCTGCAAATTCAAAGTCACCAGCTCAGGACAGTGTGCACCTATGTACTTAAGAGCTTCATCTTCTAGCTACAAGGATAAAGAAACAAGAAAGTGATTACTGATAGTGTGTCAAGGGAAAAATATTTAAGAATATATACATTCATTAATACATCATCAAAATAGCCAACCAAGTTATAAAGGATCAATGAACTAGAGTAAATTATTATCATATGAATGTAATTAAAACTGTTCCCATCACATTAAATGCACACAATCACCATTAATTTAAGTAAAATAGAAATTGCCCAGTGTTCATAGACATATTTCTGTTAAATTATATATGCCTTACAACATTTTGTAGCAGGATTATGAAGTTAAATAATTTCTACACCTTAAAACACCTAGTATTTTTGTTTTTTTTCCATGGTCCTCTGGCTTGAACTCAGGGTCTGGGTATTGTCCCTGAGGTTTATTGGTCAAGACTAGTGCTCTACTATTTGCGCCACAGCTCCACTTTGTACTTTTTTTGTGGTTAATTGAAGAGTTCTATAGACTTTCTTATCTGGGATGGCTTTGAACCATGATCCTCAGATCTTAGCCTTCTGAGTAGCTAGGCATGAGCCTCTGGATCAACTTTCAGGAGAAGCAACAAAGGATAGAATCCTCAGTGTTTATCTGCTGTTGGTATGCTTATAGTAATGAGGACAGATGGCAAGTCATTTATCATAATGATGCATTCTAATCAATATTTTAGGATTATATAAACAACCAGAAGCTCAAGCTGTTGTTTTAAGGTAGTCATACATCTAGAGCTCTGCTTTAAACTCCTCCCGCTGTGGTAAAAGCGTGAGGGTAAGTTTAGTAAGAGCTCCAGGGTATAGCTTTAGTAACCATTGATAAAATAAGGTAAAGACTAACCCTACTTAGTCAGGCACATTTAAATCCTCTCTTTCAACACTGGGATTTGAACTCGGTCTCACATGGGCTAAGCAGGCACTCTATAGCTGAGCCACACTTTTAGTCCTTTTGTGCACTTTTTTTTTTTTTTGTCAGTCATGGGGCTTGAACTCTGGGCCTGGGTGCTGTCCCTGGGCTCTTTAGCTCAAGGCTAGTGCTCTACCACTTGAGCCACAGTGCCACTTCCGGCTTTTTCTGCTTATGTAGTGCTGAGGAACCTAGGGCCTCATACAAGCAAGGCAAGCATTCTACCACTGAGCCACCTTCCCAGTCCTGCAATCATTATTTTTTACACTGGCTTCTGCCTGGGTTTAAGGCTGGACTATGATCTGCACATTTTAAGTATTCTGTTGGGCATTGTCCCTCAGCTCTTCAGCTCAAGGCTAGCACTCTACCACTTGAGCCACAGTGCCACTTCCAGTTTTCTTGTGGTTTATTGGAGATAAGAGTCTTTTGGACTTTCCTATCCAGGCTGGCTTTGAACCACGATCCTCAGATCTCAGCCTCCTGAGTAGCTAGGATTATAGGTGTGAGCCACCGGCGCCCAGCCCACAAACCTTTTAAACTCAATCTTCCATATAGCTGAGATGACATACATGAGCCATCATACACAGCTACTGATTGAGAAAAGTTTCACTTTATACCCCAGCTGAACTCAATTCTCAGCCCAGAAAATACATATTTGATCAGTTCTTTTAGACTCCATTTGTTAAGTTCCCTTAAGTTCCTGTTCATAAAAATTTTAGAGCCAGGTTCTGCTGGTTCACTCTTGTGACTGTAGTGACTCAGGAGGCTGAGATCTGAGGGTCATGGTTCAAAGCTGGCCTGGGCAGAAAAACCTGTGAGATTCTTATCTCCAATTTCACACCAAAAAGATGATAGTGGAACTGTATAAAGCTCAGGGACAGCACTCAGGTCTTCAATTTAAGCCTTAGTACCAGAACAAAAATGAAGAGGAAAAAAATTAAAAATTTTAATAACAGAATGTGTTGGATCTGTGATGCAACAGGGAGAAAATAAACCAAAACACTATAAAATTCACGTTGCTGTGTATGCTTGGCATAATTGTGAACAATTCCTGGTGGTAAACGGAATTGACAAGACTGACTTTCTTGCTTAACCAGTTCCAAGTATCTGCAGTAATCAAACTTTTTCAGTTCAGATTAAACTACATGAAACCCTTCTTTCCCATGACATATCCTTGGTATAAGCACATCTCTCTATCTTGTTCCCTCCCAATTTATCTTGTTCAGATATTAATTTCTTCTCCTTCTTTATTTCCAAGGAACACTTGGTAACCATGTGTCTTTGAATTCCCATTTCCTTCAAGACAAACATGGAGCCTACAAAGGGATCATGTTCCCTCTGACTTTCATAAGCACTATATAGAGTATTACCTGTGTGCAGCCTTTTAAGAATAAGGCCTTGAGACCCCCACAGCCTCTCACTAGTGCTTGAATGCCATCCTTGGTTACTTGGTCACACCAGGAAATGTTCAACTGCTCCAACAGTGGACATCCCTCACTTAGGATTAAAAAAAAAAAAAAACAACAGACAAGCATATCACTACATCTAATTTCAAAGGTATTGAAGTCTCATTTTTGTGGTGTTTATGTGAAATTCTATCACTAACAGGACCATATCAAATCCATTTTAATCAACATAACACTGCATTTCAAATACAGATGGGAATGGAGATTAAGTGACAATTGTCTAGTTTACAGTTTAGTGTTCAGATTCAAACCTGGATTATCTATCAAGTAATTCTGTTTATATCAACAAAATAAGAACTTTTAAGCTTTTATTTAAAAAGTACAAAAGCTCTGTATATTTTCCTTTTCTGGAACATTTCCAGAATATGTTTTTTTTTTGGGGTCCGGTCATGGGGCCTGAACTCTGGGCCTAGGTGCTGTCCCTCAGCTCTTCAGCTCAAGGCTAGCACTCTACCACTTGAGCCACAGTGCCACTTCCGGCTTTTTTCTTTTTGCTTATGTGGTGCTGAGGAATCGAACCTAGGGCCTCATGCATGCAAGGCAAGCGCTCTACCACTGATCCACCTTCCCAGCCCCAAGTATTCTTTTTTTTTTTTTTTGGGGGGGGGGGGTCCGGTAGTAGGGCCTGAACTCTGAGCCTGGGCGCTGTCCCTCAGCTCTTCAGCTCAAGGCTAGAGCTCTACCACTTGAGCCACAGTGCCACTTGCGGCTTCTTTCTTTTTGCTTATGTGGTGCTGAGGAATTGAACCCAGGGCCTCGAGCATGCAAGGCAAGCGCTCTACCACTAAGCCACCTTCCCAGCCCCCAAGTATTCTTATCTATAGAAAAATAATTCAGAAAATGAAAAATAGGAGATCACAGAGCACTGGTGGCTCATGTCTGTAATCCTAGCTACTCAAGCAGCTAAGCTTTGAGGCTTTTAACTCCAATAAACTACTCAGAAAAAGCTGGAAGTGGCACTGTCAAGTGGGAGAGCGCTAGATTTGAGCACAAAGAGGATGAGGGACAGTGCCCAAACCCCAGGACTGGCAAAAAATTAAAAAAATAAAAATAAAAACATGAGATCTATATTCAAGTTCATTCTTCAAAGTGTCAGGCAAATCACTTTAAGGAAATTTATCTGGAAGTGGCACTGTGGCTCAAGTGGTAGAGTGCTCGCCTTGAGCTGAAGAGCTGAGGGACAGCGCCCAAGCCCAGAGTTCAAGCCCCACAACCGGCCAAAAAAAAAAAAGATTGACAGGAAATTTATCTGAGCCTTGCATCTAAGACAGACATAGTCTCTCTAGATTCTCTCCAATTACAGTTTCTGAGTTCTACCAATATGTCATGCAGTAATAGGGCAGCAACAATATCTTACTCAATTATCTCAACAGAACCTGCAATTATTTAAAAATTATTTTTATTTCTTATTTTTTTGCCAGTCCTAGGGCTTGAGCACCTCCTTGTGCTCAAGACGAGCACTCTACCACTTGAGCTACATTACCACTTCTGGCTAAACTTTGTTTTATTTGGTAGTAAGGAATCAAACCCAGGGCTTCATGCAATCTAAACAAGCACTCTGCCATTAAGCCACATTCCTAGCTGCTAGTTGTTGTTTTAATGTGTATCTGACTTATCTACTACTCAAGCTTTTCATCTAAATGAGACCAATGGTGAAAATGTTCTATAAATGTTTCATTTATATATTTATTTTTGTTGCTTGTGCTGCTTGAATTCAGGGCCTGGGTGCTATCCTTGAGCCCTTTTGCTAAAGGCTAGCACTGTGCTACTTTGAACCACAGTGCCACTTCTGGCTTTCTAGTGATTAACTGGAAATAAACCCAGGCTGGCTTTGAACTGCTGTGATCTTCTGATTTCAGCCTCTTGAGCAGTTAGGATTTCAGGAGTGAGCCACTGGGGCCCAGCTTATTATTTCATATATGGGGAACAGTCTTAAATATGTATGCGTTTAATATTCCTAAAAGAAGTCCAAATGGAGCCACTTTCTTTTTTTTCTTGCTGGTCTGGGGTTTGAGCCCAGGACACTGCACTGTCCTTCAACTTTGGTGCCCAAGACTAGATAGTGCTGTACCAATTGAGCCACAGTTTCACTTCCAACTTTTTGCTAGTTAACTGGAGATAAAAGTCGCATAGTCTTTCCTGCCCGGGCTGGCTTTGAACTGTGATCCTCTAATTTCAGCCTCCTTAACAGCTAGGATTATAGGCATCAGCTTCTAGCACTTGGCTCTAATAGTTTAATTTTAAGTTTAAACTGAATTATCTATTTGTGTGTTAGTACTAGAACTTGAACTCAGGGCCTAGGCATTGTTTTTTAGCTTTCTCACTCAAGGCTGGTGCTTTATTTGAGCCACAGCAACATTTCTATAGCTTAAATTTTAATATGTGTAAGTGTAGCCAATTCAAGGGACTATAAAAGGGTAGCTAAATGGCAACTGTTCAAAAAGAATGGGCATTTAAAATTCCTTTTAAAACCCATCTTCTGTAAAGTACTTTAAAAAGTACATGAATATGAAAATAATGAACATTTATTGATAGCCTATTGAATGACAGGTACATATTTTTAAGTACTTTATACAAACTAGGTTGAGACATACAAACCAGTTATTTATTTACATATTTAGTTGGGTTCTAAGGCACAAAGTCACAGCCTGGGCACTGTCCCTGAGTTTTTTTGTTTTTGCTCAAGGTTAGTGCTGTACCACTTGAGCCACACCTCCATGCTCAGCTTTTTTGGTGGTTAATTAGAGGTTAAGTGTTTCACAAACTTTCCTGTCAAGGTTGGCTTTTTTTTTTTTGGGGGGTCCTGTTGTGGGGCCTAAACTCTGGGCCTGGGCGCTGTCCCTCAGCTCTTCAGCTCAAAGCTAGTGCTCTACCACTTGAGCCACAGCACCACTTCTGGCTTTTTTCTTTTTGCTTATGTGGTGCTGAGGAATCGAACCCAGGCCTTATGCATGCAAGGCAAGTGCTCTACCACTGAGCCACCTTTCCAGTCCCACAGGTTGGCTTTTTTTTTTTTTCGGTCGGTTGTGGGGGTTTAACTCCGGGTCTGGGCATTGTCCCCTCAGCTCTTCAGCTCAAGACTAGTTGACTACCACTTGAGCCACAGTGCCACAGATCTCAGCCTCTTTAATAGCTAAGATTACAGGCGTGAGCCACCAGCGCCTGGACCTCTATGTTGGCTTTGAATCTCAGTGCTCAGATCTCAGCCTCTTCAGAAGCTGGTAGATAAGGACATGTGCACTTTTCTTTTCTGTTTCTTTCTCTCTCTTTTTGTTTTAATAAGCCTTAAAAAGATCTAATCATCCACTCATCAACTGTACTACTTTGTTCAGAAATCCTAGTTACCGCCGGTCATTTCACTAGAATATATCCTGTAACTGTAAAAATAGCAAGTAGTAAGACAAAATATTGAATCTGAAGTACAACACATATTCAATAAAACTACAACATAGCTGGCTTTAATTCCAACTGCATATTAGTTATTTTTGAAAGTCATATAATGAACATGCTTATCATGAGAAATTTACCTCAGAGCTTTGAGAGACATGTTGGTTATTGATGTACAGGAAGCCAAATCAAGGTGCTTGAGTTTGGAACAGAACTTGCTAAGGCTAGTACATGTACTGGAAGTGAAGAAAAGAAAAAATACTGAATAAATAAAACCACATCTTTATTATAAACTTTTCTGAGTGAACATTCATATGTAGATCAGATCAGAACTGTAATATTTTCATACTCTCCCCAAAGTCATAACCATGGGACCTTCACACTGAGGAAGAAGCAAATATGTATGAAAGGTTTGCTTATTAAAATTTGCATCAAAGAAAGATGGTGCTTGATTGATTAGGAACTATTAATAGCTATTAACAGCACACTATAAACTCTAAAAGGTCTACAGGCATTTAAAAAAAAATCTAGAAGCCAGGTGCTGGTGGCTCATGCCTGTATTCCCAGCTACTCAGGAGGCTGAGATCTGAGGATTATGGTTCAAAAATTCAAAGCCAGCCCGGGCAGGAAAACTCCATAATACTCTAATCTCCAAGAAACTACCAGAAAACTATAAGTGGCTCTGTGGCTCAAGTGTAGAGCACCAGCCTTGAGGTGCATAGCTCAGGGATAGTGCCTAGGCCCAGAGTTCAAGCCCCATGACTGACAGACCAAAAAAAAAAAAAAATCTAGAAACACCAAAAAGCTACAACCAGTTCTCACAAGCATGTAGATAAACATGAGGACCAAAGTTACCTCTGTCCTTTCACTTTAATCTCGATTCAAGATAACTCTTTGCAATAAATAACAGAAGAACTGGATTTTTACAAGGTATCCAAAGGATAAAGCTATGTAATACTGCTGTCTACTATTTTTTACATTTTTTTTTCCAGAATGGGGACAGAAACAAGGGCTTCATTCATGCTAGGCAAGTGTTCTACCAGCCGACTAGACCCTCAACTCCTTTTTATGAATTCTAGTTTAACATGAGAAAGTGCAGGGAGAATTAGAAGGGTAACAGTCCCTGCTCCCCACACAGGAAACATGAGTAAAGATTCCATGAATCTTAAAGGCTCTTTTCCTACAATATTCAAGTTCTCAGTTTAATTGTTTAAAGTTATTGTAAAAAGTTTCAAATGTATACAATGAATATTACAGAGAAAAGAGGTCCTATTATAATTAAATCTCAACATTTACTAATACTCTATTATTTTTATACCATCCCTACCCCTCCCTTCATTTATTTATTGCCAGTTCTAGGACTTGATCTCAGTGCCTGAGTAATTGTCCCAGAGGTTTTTTTGTTTTTGTTTTGCCGTGAGCAAGTGTTCTACTATTTGACCCAACCCCAATCCTACCCTCTCTCTTTCCTTTTCTTTTTAAATTGGGTAGTACTGAGTTTCGAACTAAGGACCTTGTACTCCACCACTTTAGCCACACTTTTATTCCTTATGTGCTTTAGTTATTTTTCATTTAAGGTCTTTCAATTCTGCCTGAGTTACATCTAGAGCCTCCTAGGAATACAACCCCAAGCCTGACTTCTGTGTTGACATAGGGTCTAACTTTTTGGAAGATCTGCCTCAAACCATAATCCTCTGGATTTCATCTTCCCAAGTAGCTAGGATAAAAAAAATGTGAGTCACAGCATCTAACCTCCCCCCCATCCCCAGATAAAGTTTCACCATATAGCCCAGGCTGATCTCAGCATCCTCAGTGACAAGATAGAAGGTGTATACCATCATGGGGGATTATTATTTCTTTGTGAGACAATAGGGGCTTACATGTATGCCTGGCAGGCCTGTACTGTGATCTGCCTTTTTATGCTTCCCACATAACTAGGATGACAGGTTCCTGCTACTGCAATTTCAAGCTACTGAGATAAGGTCTTCTGTTTATGTTTGGGCTGGCCTTGATCTTGCCTCCTGAGACATGATTAGATATGAACCACAGCTCATGACATGGAGCTTTGATTTACTTTTCCACATAGGCATTCAGAGCTATACCACAGTTTTAGCTGCATCCCATACACTTTAATAGCTTTTCATTTTAACTACACTCAGAATATTTTTAAATTTTACAATCCATGAATTAGTCAAACTATTGTGCTTTAAATTTCAAATACCTGGTATCTTCACAGAAATGATTCGGTTGTGGATCAATTCTCTAGTTATGGTCAGAAAACTATTTCAGTATTTCTAAATTTATGAAGGTTTGTTTAGTGTCTTCTGAAAAAGGTTCCACATGTGCTTGAAAAAAATTGCTTGTTCTACAATCACTGGGTAGATTGTTCTGTTAGGACAGAGGGAATTTCTACATCTTTTTCTCTCAAGGCTAGTACCGTACCCTTTGAGTCACATTTCCACTTTCAGCGTTTTGGCAATTATTTGGAGATATTTGCCAAGCTTTTTCCATTGAGATAGAGTCCTTTCTTTTTGCCTGAGACCAGGGAGTTGAACTTGGTACCTGACAATTTTGTTTATTGGGTAGTACTCTACCAATTGTGCCATACCTCCAACTCTGAGATGGAGTCTTTTTGCCAGTCCTGGGGCTTGAACTCAGGGCCTGGGCACTGTTCCTGAGCCTCTCTGTGCTCAGGCTAGCATGAGCCATCAGCACCTAGTAGGTCTTTTTAATACATGATGACAATCTTGTCTTTTAGATAAAGAGTTCAGATTTTTCACTTTTTTTTTTTTTTGGGGGGGGGGCCAGTCCTGGGGCCTGAACTCTGGGCCTGGGCGCTGTCCCTCAGCTCTTCAGCTCAAAGCTAATGTTCTACCACTTGAGCACAGCACCACTTCTGTTTTTTTGGTGATTAATTGGAGATAAAAGTCTCATGGACTTTCCCACCCAGTCTGGCTTTGAACGGCAATCCTCAGATCTCAGCCTCCTGAATAGCTAGGATTACAGGCATGAGCCACAGCACTTGGCTGGATGAGTCTTTAAGTCATTATATTCTGCTTTTTCCCTTGCTGTTCTCTGAAATTTCCAAAAGAGGGACAATGGCACTTGAGATAATGTCATTAAGTTTGAGATTCTCTCCATTTTTATCACTGTTCAGATTGAACGGTTTCTTCTTTTGTTTCTTTCTGGTGCCAGTCCTGGCATTTGAACTCAGAATTAAGGGCCTCAAGCTCTCATTTAGCTTTTTTGCTTCATACTGGTGGTGTACTACTGAAGCCGCACGTCAACTTTTGGCTTTTTGCTGGTTAACTGATAAGTCATGGGCTTTTCTATGCAGGTTGGCTTCAAATCATGATCCTTACATCTCAGCTACCTGAAAAACTATAAGATGTGAGGCATGGGTCTGGGAAGGTGGCTCAGTGGTAGAGTGCTTGCCTTGCATGCCTGAGGCCCTGGGTTCGATGCCTCAGCACCACATAAGCAAAAAGAAAAAAGCCAGAAGTGGCATTGTCACTCAAGTGGTAGAGCGCTAGCCTTGAGCTGAAGAGCTGAGGGACAGTGCCCAGGCCCAGAGTTCAGGCCCTACGACCAGACCAGGAATAAAAAAAAAAAAAAAAAGATGTGAGGCATTTGGTGCTGTGGCTCAAGTGGTAGAGCTGAAGAGCTGAGGGACAGTGCCCAGACTCAAGAGTTCAGGCCCTACAATTGACAAAAAAAAAAAAAAAAAAAAGATGTGAGGCATTGGAAGAGTCCAGCTCAGAATGGATAATTTCTATGAATCTATTTTTGAGTTTACTGGTTATCGTTTTGCTTTCTGATCCATTACTGAGATTGCTAGTGAATCCTTCAATTGTGTATTTCCAACCCCTGAATTTCTACTTGGATTCTACTAAATTCTACTTCTCCCTAAGTTTTACTGTTTTGTTTTTTTTTTAATAATTGTATTAGACAGAAAACTTTATTTATGACCATGTTTCAATTTGGGGCCTACAAGTGCTCTACTAGTTAAGTTACACTTCTAACCTTTGGTTTTAGTTTTAAATCTGGGATTCTAATGTCAACCCTGTTTTTACAGCTTAGTGTTTAGCCCAAGAAAGTACTAGACTTCTATTCTATAGCATTAGCTCCAAAGCTGATGGTTTTTTACAGCCTGCTTGCCCTGTTCTAATGAACTATTCAGAGCAAGCACCGGGGGTGGGGAGTGGGTGAGGACAGGAGAAGGAGCCGCAAGAATTTCACAGACTCACACTGTTCTTACTGAAGAACAGTAGCTCTCATTAGTAAATCCTTGTTTGTTATGTGTCTTTTTCTTTTCAGAAAGTTGTTTTGACCATTTTTTTTCATCTTTATAGTTGCTGTGAGAGAATGTGCTGACATCTTCTTTCCCACATGCTAGAAATCCCTCAATGACTGCTGTTCTTCTTAAGTTTTGGGGTGGTCATAGAAGGCTGAAAAATGTGTATTATTTTTAAATTAACTGTGAAGTATATATCATGCGCAATAAAATCTATTTGTTTAAGTGTACAAGCCAATTAAGTTTTTCAAATGTACACCCCTTAAGACTATCAGTCCAAGAGAAATACAGAAAATTTGATAGAGGTTTTTTGCTATGAACCTGCTGGTCTGAAATTTGTTAAGATAGCTCAGACTGGCCTTGAATTCTGTTTAAGCAAAATTATAAGAATCGTAGCTAGATGCCATCATGCCTGGCAATGTAGAAAGATTATTACAACTCTTCAAAATGTCCCTGTCTACCATTACCAGTACATGCATTTCACCCCTTCCTCCTGTTGCAAGCCACTAATGATCTGCTTTATTATCACTATAATTTCCTATTAAAGAATTTCAAAGCTGGGCGCCAGTGGCTCATGCTTGTAATCCTATCTACTCAGGTGGCTGAGATCTGAGGATTGTGGTTCAAAGCCAGCCTGGGCAGGAATGTCCATGAGACTCTCATCTTCAATCAATCACCAGAAAATCAGAAGTAGTGCTGTGGCTCAAGAGCAGGAGGGCTCGCCTTGAGCTGAAGAGCTCAGGGGCAGCCCAATGTTCAAGCCCCACAACTGATGAAAAAAAAAAAAAAGAATTTAAAATAAGTAGAATTATAAAGTATATATTAATTTGTAAGATTTTCTTGGAGGGGGTAGGAATACAACTCTGGGTTTTGGTAATGTTTGGCAAGTATTCTACCATTGAGCAATATCTATAGTCCTGGGTCCGTTTCTATTGCCTGTCTCTTCTTCTAGTTCTGGACCTAGTTTGTTTATTTACATGAGTTAGTGGTTTTTGGCCAGGTGCTGGTGGCTCATGCCTATAATGCTAGCTACTCAGGAGGCTGAGATCAGAGAATTAGGGTTCAAAACAAGCCTGGGCAGGGAAGTCTGAGAATCCTGTTCAAAGCCAGCCTGGGCAGGAAAGTGCATGATGTTCTTTTTTTTTTTTTTGTGGGGGGGGGATCCAGTCGTGGGGCCTGAACTCTGGGCCTGGGTGCTGTCCCTCAGCTCTTCAGCTCAAGGCTAGCACTCTACCATTTGAGCCATAGTGCCACTTCCGGCTTTTTTTTTTTTTTTTTTTGCTTATGTGGTGCTGAGGAATCGAACCCAGGGCCTCATGCATGCAAGGCAAGCGCTCTACCACTGAGCCACCTTCCTAGCCCCAGTGCATGATATTCTTATCTCCAATGAACCACTCAGAAAACTGGAAATGGTGCTGTGGCTCAAGCAGTAGAGTGCTAGCCTTGAGCTGAAGAGCTCAGGGACAGCTCCCAGGCCTAGTTCAAGTCCCACAACAACAACAATAACAATAACAAAAGATTTGTTTTGAGTGGTTACAACTTTTCCATCTAATACTTTTTCAGCTTACAGTGTCCTGATATTTTTTTCTTCATATATATACTAAGCTTTGTGGTATTCTCAAACTGTGCATATACAATGTGATACCTAGCCAGATCCAGGTACATGTTTATAATTGTTTTCGAGTAATTCCCTTCTTGCTACGATTTCAGCTACTTTAGTCTCTCTTCACTCTTTTTATTCTCTTCAAATTACCAAGATTTTGGTATACTGCTTGGGTTTTTTGTTTGTTATTTAAATGCTGGTCCTGAGGCTTGACCTCCGTCAGGGCTTAATTGCCTTTCTTGAGCTTTTTGCTTAAATGCTCTACCACTTGAGCCACAACACTACTTCCAGCTTTTTAAGTGGGTAATTGGAAGAGTTTCATGGACTTTCTTGACTCGTCTGTTCCACCACATATAATTCTCAGATTTCAGCCTCCTGCATAGCTAACATTATAGTTGTGAGCCACTGGAGTCCATTGGGCTCCTTTTTACAACACTGTGTGCTTTTAGTTCCAAGACTGGGACTTGAACTAGGTACCTGATACTTTCACTCATTGGCTTGCATCTACTAATTGAGCCATGCCTCCAAACCCTACAACTCTGCTTTATAAGTGCTTCCAGGCTTTTCTCTCTCTCTTTTTTTTTTTTTGGCCGGTCGTGGGGCCTGAACTCTGGGCCTGGGCGCTGTCCCTCAGCTCTTCAGCTCAAGGCTAGTGCTCTACCACTTGAGCCACAGTGCCACTTCCGGCTTTTTCTGCTTATGTGGTGCTGAGGAATCGAATCCAGGGCCTCATGCAAGCAAGGCAAGCACTCTACCACTGAGCCATCTTCCCAGCCCCTCCAGGCTTTTTTTTTTATGGCTCATGCCATTTATTTTTCAGTCCTGTGACATATACACTGTCCACCATCTTTTTTTTTTTTTTTTTTTTTTTTGTTGTGGGGCTTGAACTCTGGGGCTGGGTGCTGTCCCTCAGCGTTTCAGCTCAAGGGGAGTGCTCTACCACTTGAGCCATAGAGCCACTTCCAGTTTTCTGGTGGTTAATTGGAGATAAGCATCTCATGGCACTTTCCTGCCTAGGCTGGGCTCTCAGATTTCAGGCTCCTGAGTATCTAGGATTATAGGCAAGAGTCACTGGTACAGGGCAATATTTTTCTTTTAAAAAAGTAACACAGGAAGTGGTGCTGTGCTCAAGCAGTAGAGTGCTCGCCTTGAGCTGAGGGACAGCACCCAAGCCCTGAGTTCAAGCCCCACGACCAACAACAACAAAAAAGTAACACAATGCCAGATGCTGGTGGCTCAGACCTGTAATCCTAGCTACTCAGGAGGCTGAGATCTGAGAATCATGGGTCAAAGCCAGCCTAAGCAGAAAAGTCCATGGGACTCTTATCCCCAATTAACCACCAGAAAACTGGAAATAATGCTGTGGTTCAAGTGGTAGAGAGTGCTCCCCTTGAGCTGAATAGCTCAGGGACAGCACTCAGGCCCAGAGTTCAAGCCCCATGATGGACCAAAAAAAAAAAGGAACAAAATGAGAGGGGATAAGTAGGTGAGGTTATAGATGGAACTATAGTGGCCATAGACTGACAATACCTGGAACTTGGTAAAGAGTTTATTATATTATTTGATATAGTTCTGTATATGTTTAAAATTTTCATAAGAAAAAAGTCATTAGAAGTAATTTCTTTTTTTTTTTTGGGTCCAGTCGTGGGCCTGAACTCTGGGCCTGGGCACTGTCCTTCAGCTCTTCAGCTCAAGGCTAGCGCTCTACCACTTGAGCCATAGCGCCACCTCTGGCTTTTTTCTTTTTGCTTATGTGGTGCTGAGGAATCGAACCCAGGGCTTCAGGCATGCAAGGCAAGCGCTCTACCACTGAGCCACCTTCCCAGCCCTAGAAGTAATTTCTTATGGTTATAAATTTCTTAGCGTTAAAGCTCCAACATATATTTTATTTTGTTTTCAATTTTTAGGGAATCTTAATTTTATGTTTTAATTATATAAAACTTTAACAGTGTTATTAAAATAAAAGCATAAAACATAATACAGTGGTTTCCTCTTATCCTTGCAGGGATGGGAACTTTATTCTGCTCAGGGCCATTTGGGTATTTGGAACATCATTTATCGGGTGTACAAAAAACTTTTCAATACTGGCAGATAGGGATGGACAGCTGACAAGAAGCATGTTTGTGTGTCTTGTCATGTGTCAAAAAAAAATTTTTTTTGCAAGTCCTGGGGCTTGTGAACTCAGGGCCTGGGTGCTGACCCTGAGCTTCTTTTGCTCAAAGCTAGCACTCTACCACTTGAGCCACAGTTGCCACTTCAGGCTTATTCTATGTTTGTGATACTGAGGAATAGAACCCACGGCTTCATGCATGCTAGGCAAGTACTCTACCACTGAGACACATCCCAGCCCCATGTGTCAAATAATTTTGAGAGATTTTTATGGCCTGTGGGCTATCTGTTCCCCACTCCTATAAGGAAGACAAAAAGAAAAGATAATTAAATAACATAGTATACAGAATATCTCACTTTCAGTGAAAAACAAAGAAGACAGGGCTAGAGACATGACTCAGGGATAGAGTGCATACCAAGCAAGCAAGAGGGACTAAGTTCAAATTTCAATACCACTAACAAATAAATAAAAACAACAAAAACACGACATGTAAACAAGCAGGAAAATGTGAGAAACATTGGTTCAAAGACTACCCTCCTCAGCAGATGCCTCAAACCATAAACAGTACCAAATCTTACTAATGCTATGTTATATACCTACTTGTAATAAAGTTTAATTTGAAAATTAGGCATGGTAAAAAATTAACAACATAATAAAATTGCACAATCGTAACAATATATTGTGAGAAGAGTTAAATTTCTGAGTTGTTTATTTTTGGAATATCCCATTTCATATTTCACAATCATTTGATTATGGAAAAAGAAAACTGAAAACACGGGGGAACTACTATTGTGCTTCAGAATGATCACTTTCATTCCTGTCGCTTTGTGTTTTCTCCTCTCCTAACCTTGTAAGTTTTTTCATTCTTTTTGTAGCTCCTGAGGCTTGAACTCAGGGCCTGGGCATTGTCCTTGAGCTAATTTGCTCAAGGCTAGCACTCTACCACTTGAGCCACGGCTCCCCTTTTGACTTTTTGGAGGTCAACTGGCAGTAAGGGTCTCATGGCTTTTCCTGCCCAGGCTGGCTTTGAACCGTGATCCTCAGATCTCAGCCTCCTGAGTATCTAGGATTACATGCCTGAGCCACCAGTGTCTAGCTTGCCCAGTGGATTTTTTTTTAAAGTTCACTATCAATATTTAAGAAAGGATTTCAAAGTAAGTTTTTCATTCCAATTCTACGTTCCTATCATTTTCTCCTAAAATGGTTCCTCCATAAACTAAGATTAAGGTTGCTAAATTTATTAACTTACAATTGAGGTTATTATAGACCAGATATATTGCCCATGACTTACCCTTTTAAAAGATACAATACTTACGCATCTGTAGTCTTTGTACACCCATTAAGATTTAGTACTTCAATGTTCCTACAGTTTTGTGCAAAGGTCCTTTATAGGAAAGAAAAAAAGTAAAAAATTTCAAATATGCAGGCAAAATACCAGACATAAAAAATAAAAAGCCAAGTGCCAGGGGTTTACACCTATAATTTTTGCTATTTAGGCTGACACCTGAGGATCAAGGTTTGGAGCCAACTCAGGGCAGACAAATCTGAGAGATCCTTATCTCCAATTAACCAGCAAAGAGCAGAAAGTGGAGGGAAGCATGGTATAGTGCCAGACACAAGCAAAAAAGCAAAGTGAGAGTAAAAGGTTGCAATCATGCTCCCGTACTAGCACCCTACCCCCTCAAAAAATTCATAAACAGCCGGGCGCTGGTGGCTCACGCCTATAATCCTAGCTACTCAGGAGGCTGAGATCTGAGGATCGCGGTTCAAAGCCAGCCCGGGCAGGAGAGACTGTGAGACTCCTATCTCCAATAAACCACCAGAAAACTGGAAGTGGCGCTGTAGCTCAAGTGGTAGAGCGCTGGCCTTGAGCTGAAGAGCTGAGGGACTGCGCCCAGGCCCAGAGTTCAAGCCCCACGGCTGACCAAAAAAAAAATTCATAAACAAATAAATCTCCAAAGAAAGAACTTTTTTTTTTTTTGGTCAGTCATGAGGCTACAACTCTGGGCCTGAGCGCTGTCACTCAGCTCTTCAGCTCAAGGCTAGCGCTCTACCACTTGAGCTACAGTGCCACTTCCAGTTTTCTGGTGGTTTATTGGAGATAAGAGTCTCATGGACTTTCCTGCCCGGGCTGGCTTTGAACATCAATCCTCAGATCTCAGCCTCCTGAATAGCTAGGATTACAGGCTTGAGCCACCGGCACCTGGCTCAAAAGAACTATTTGTGATGGGTAATTTTTTGGGGGGGGATGTTGGTCCAGGAGCTTGAATTGAGGGCCTCAGTGCTGTTCTTGAGCCTTGTTGCTCAAGGCTAGCTCAAGGCTAGTTGTTGTTGTTGTTGTTACTTCTGGGGCTTGAACTCTGGGCCTGGGCACTGTCCCTCAGCTCTTCAGCTCAAGGTTAGTGCTCTACCACTTGAGCCACACCACTTCTGGTTTTCTGAGTGGTTTATTGAAGATAAGAATCTTTCAGACTTTTCTGCCTGGGCTGGCTTTGAACCATGATCCTCAGATCTCAGCTTTCTGAGCAGGTAGGATTACAGATGTGAGCCACAGGCACCTGGTGCACATTACCATTTGAAACTTAAGTCACACATCCATTTATGGCTTTTTGGGTGCTTAATTGTAGATAAGTGTTTTACAGACTTTCCAACCCAGGCTGGTTTCAAACTGTGATCCTTAAATATCAGCCTCTTGTGTAGCTAGGATTACAGGCATGAGCCCCTGGTGCCTGGTAGTAATTTTGAGGGAAAGATTTGTTCTTAATTGTTTTCTTGCTTTTTTTTTTTTTTTTTTTTAGGTCTGAGATTGGGACTCAAACTTAGTACCAACTGCTTTTGCACACTGGCAGCACTCTACCAACACCTATTTATTTGTAGTTCTGTAGTCTGAACTCCTGCTAGGCAGGTACTCATCACTAGAGCCACACCTCAGCCCTTTGTTTCTGCTTTAGAAAAGGGTCTCACTAAATAACTCCCATTGGCCTCAAACTCCTGCCTCACTGCTGAGATTACAGGTATACACACAACCTTCTTACAAAATTGCCTATTATCAATTAATCTTTGTGTTGTAAACAAAGTATATACTTTTGCATTTTTAACAACTTAGAAATTTAAAAATGGTTTAGACTTTTCCAGATGAGATGAACTGTTCTCAATCAAAGAGGTTAATCAACTGTTATTTTTCAAACAGTTATGTTTTTACCTTAATGCATTGTCTCCAACTCCAAGACACCCACGTAGGCTCAACTTTCGTAAAAAGCCCCCACATCGTTTTGAAATATTCTCCACTACCCGGCCCTATAAAAAGAGACAGGCAAGCAAAAAGATAATTCACTTCACTGCTTTTGCAAAAAATATATGTTTCTAACAAGTTTTAAACAGAGAGAAAAGACTGCTTCTACTTGTACCAAAGACTTAAGTACGAAAAATATAACTTCTTACAATAAAGCTTTCCTGATTAACTCATCTACTTGAAACATGCTTAAATTCTATATTCTTATTTTTTTAATTTGTACTGGAGGAAGATATTTATATATATAATATAATGCATATTTACATATATAACTCATGTAATATGTACTGGAGGAATGGCACTCTCCAGTTCTATTTTTTTTTTTTGGGTCCGGTCCTGGGGCCTGAATTCTGGGCCTGGGCACTGTCCCTCAGCTCTTCAGCTCAAGGCTAGCACTCTACCACTTGAGCCACAGCACCACTTCCGGCTTTTTTCTTTTTGCTTATGTGGTGCTGAGGAATCGAACCCAGGGCCTCAGGCATGCAAGGCAAGCGCTCTACCACTGAGCTACCTTCCCAGCCCAACTCTCGAGTTCTATTATGGCTCTGTGAGTACTCTGCATACAACAGGGACTCAAACACAAAAACCTGTTGAATGATTCTGTGGGCATATGTTTTAAACAAGCATATTATGTAGACCAGAAAATTTTGGTAAAACAAAATCGAACATAACGTCTGGGAGTACTATTTGAAATGTACCTTCTGAAAATAATGTAAAGTTCACCTGAGGTTACAAAATTCCTTACATTGAGCATCAAGATAATTTGTTTTTGCTGAAACTTAAAAGCTTCTCATCTAGTCCTTCCAACACTATGAAGAAGCCATGTTTTCACTCTCATGACTAGAGCTAAGAATCCAAGGTTAAAATAGTTTGAGCTTAAGCCATTATGCTTTCTACTTTAAAGATAATGAGTTATACTAAAAGAGGAAATGGGGGAAAGGGTGAGTGAAAGGAAGGAAAAAAAATTCTCTTTAGCAATTGAAAATTTGATTTTTTGTTTTATTCTTCTTTAATTTTTCTCCAAAACTTAACTGCATCTTTGTTTTCCCAAGAATGAAAATACCTTTAAGACTAATATATTTGCCAGGCACAGGGGGCTCCTGCCTGTAATCCTAGCTACTCAGGAGGCTGAGATCTGAGGACTGTGGTTCAAAGCCCAGGCAGGAAAGTCCATGAGACTCTCAGCTCTAATAAACTATCAGAAAATCAAAAGTGGCACTGTGGCTCAAGTGGTAGAGTGCTAGCCTTGAGTTGAAGAGCTCAGGGACAGCACCCAGGCTCAGAGTTCAAGCCCCATAACCAACAACAACAACAACAACAAATATATATATATATATATACACACACACACACACACACACACATATATATATATATATATATATATACACAAATACACACACACACACACACACACACACATTCAGTTATCACCCAAACAAACTTAACTACTTATTTTTTTTATATTTATTTATTTATTTTTTGGGTCCGGTCGTGGGGCCTGAACTCTGGGCCTGGGCGCTGTCCCTCAGCTGTTTAGCTCAAGGCCAGCGCTCTACCACTTGAGCCACAGCGCCACTTCCGGTCTTTTCTTTTTGCTTATTGGTTCTGAGGAATTGAACCCAGGGCCTCATGCATGCAAGGCAAGAGCTCTACCACTGAGCCACCTTCCCAGCCTATAACTAATTTTTAATAAACAATTATAAAATGGCTCTCTTAAAAAGAAAAACTACAAAACGCAGGTTCACATTTCCATGGCAAAAAATACAAAAACCCCCAAATCAAAAAAAACTTTTAGTACTACTTCAACACTAAAATAATTCAACATAGTGTAGCATTTTTTTTCAGTGAAGTAATTCCACTTAACCTCAAAGAAAAAAATAAAGAAACTCTTCCATGAAGTTTAGAAGTACTAAAAAAAAAAATTTCTCCAAGGAAAATACGATTTATATGGCCAGGCCTAATCTGTTCCATACTGTAATTATTAGCAAGAGAAATGGGGCCACACAGAACATAATTATACCTCAATATCCCTCTGGAAATCAAACAGGTCAATTCGCTGCCAGTTACTGCCATCCAAGGCCAGAACATTCCAGGCCTATTTTGAAGAAAGATAGAATGAGCAGAAGCTAAAATGAAGAGAAAAACCAGTAATATTCAAGTTCACAATTCATCTAATCAATGATTTTAAAGGATCAAAAAATTCCCTAGCACCTAACTTTCAATCTATTTCAATTGATTCCCTTCTTTTCCCCTCCCTGTCCCTATTTTCTCTGGCAGTCTAACTAAAACATTAAAAGAAGCTGTCCTGGTTGTGTGCTAATATAATCCTAGTTACTCAGGAGGCTGAGATCTGAGGGTTGTGGTTTCAAGCCAGCCCAGGCAGGAAACTCCATGAGTCTCTTATTTATAAAGTACCCAAAAATTACTTAAGTGGAACTGTGGCAAAGTGGTAGAATACTAGCCTTGAGCATTAAAAGCTCAGAGACACTGTCCAGACCCTGGGTTCAAGCCCCAAGACTGGTAAACACTCAAAAAAATTAAAATGTGTTTTTTATGTTTCTGGATTTTTTTTTATCTAAGCCTGACCTTATAATTTGCATTGTCAATGTTTTTTTTTCCTAATTTAAAATGGTTCCTCTGCTTATATTATGCAAATAGGAGTCACAAAATGTTAGAGACAGTATGTATAGCAGAATCCTACAGTACTACAGGGGATGGATGTACCATGAGTAAAACGGCATCCTTTGATACATAATAACATACAAAAATAGCATGTAAAATAAATGGTTAGCCTGCTGTATAGGCTGTCATTCTCAGTGTCAGGAAGAGATCCCCTGGTAACCATGTCAACCATTCTTACCCTAGAGACCTGAGCACAGCGACACAAAGTAACAACATCCAGAAAAGAAAATATCCTAAAAGAGAGGAAAAACATTATTATATGAAAAGTAGTTTCTACCACATAAAGGCAGAGCTTCATTCAAACAAACATGTTAAAAAAATAAGTGAGCAATTTATGAAGATAACACTGCTCTTCTAAAACATAGCTCACGCCTGTAATCCTAGCTACTCAGGAGGCTGAGATATGAGGATCTCAGTTCAAAGTCAGCCCAGACAGGAAAGTCTGAGACTCTTATCTCTAATAAACCACTAAAAACTGGAAGTGGCGCTGTGGCTCAAGTGGTAGAGAGATTGCCTTGAGCTGAAGAGTGCAAGGACAGCGCCCAAGCCCAGAATTCAAGCCCCATGACAGACAAAAAAACAAAAAACAAAAAACAAAAACAGGAGAAAGTGACCTTTTACTTGATAACATACATGTGAATTCAATTACATTAGGGATGACAAATGATTTCTAATCCATATAGAAAAAAGTGTTACCAGGCAGAAGTCTTGAAGCATTAATCTGAAAAAGGAGGACTAGATTTCTACTCTACAGCTAACTTTAAATGTGAAAAGCTTCCTAGTTAGCTTAAAAGAAATAATTGTTGTTAGCTTAAAAGAATATAACTTTTATATTTTGGAACTTGAAATAAGCTGAGTAATAATTTTATCAGGCTGAGCACTGGTGCCTCATTCCTCTAATCCCAGCTATTTAGGAGGCTGAGTTTGGAGGGTAAGATGTGAGCATCAAGTTAGAAGCCTGTACATGCAAGGAAGTCCATGAGATTCTTATCTCCAATTAACCACCAAAAAGCCAGAAATACAACTGTGGCTTCACTAGCAGAGTGATAGCCTTGAGCAAAAAAGCTCAGGGACAGCGCCCAAGCCAGGCCCTGAGTTCAAGCCACAGGACCAGCACCAAAACAAACTAAAAGCAAAAGCAAAGAAAAATAATAATCTGATAATTATAGACAACTATATACAAATGAGAATTAGTAATATAACTGCAACTTTTAAAATATACAAAAATATACCAAAAAACAAATCAACAACACCCTCTTCCCAACCAAAAAAGAGGAGTATTCAGACTTACCTTAACAGGAGTTCTTTGGGAAGTTTTTTATTGATCACAGCTTCATCACTATTTGAGAACATCTGTAAACACAAAGCCATTGTGTCAAAAAGAAGCCAGGTGCTGGTGGCTCATGCCTATAATCCTAGCTACTCAAGAGGCCAGCCCCGGCAGGGAAGTCCATGACACTCTTATCTCCAATAAACACTAAAAAACCGGAAATGGCACCATGGCTTAAGCGGTAGAGTGCTCACCTTGAGCTGAAGAGTGCAAGGACAGTGCCCAAGCCCAGAGGTTGAAGCCCCACGACCGACCAAAAAAAAATTTTTTTTTAAATTACTTAGAATGTTCAACTCAAGAGAAGAAATTTTCTAAGGCAAAAACTATATGGCGTTACCCTGTCACCTTTATCGCTAAGGAAACTTAGCTACAAAAGGTTTACTACTCAAAATCATATTACTAAGGATTATGTTAAAATAAAATTAAGAAGCTAGGCATGGTGGTGCATGCCTATAACCTTAGCACTCAGAAGTATAAGGCAGAAAAAATCATGAATTCAAGGCTAGCCTTAGCTACAGAATAAGACTTTGTGGAGAGCAAGAAAGAAAGAAAAAAAGGAGAGAAGAAAAGGAAGGAAATACAAAGATGAGTTGAGTCTATAAACTTGGCTTATATTTTATTTTTCCAGAAGGTGTTCAGAAGCTGCAACAGCATAATTATTTTGTGTCTTATATATCATGCAGAAAAATAAAGCTTCCATAAGGTTATTTATTAAAGTTTGTTTTCTTTTAGGGATAGACATCACCCAGGACCTTGAACATGCTAGACAAAATGCTCTACTAAGCCAGGTGCCAGTGGCTCATGCCTATAATCCTAGCTACTCAGGAGGCTGAGATCTGAGGATCGAGGTTCACAGCCAGCTGGGGCAGAAAAGTCCGTGAGACTTATCTCCAATAAACCACTAGAAAACTGGAAGTGGCACTGTGGGGCTCAAGTGATAGAGCACTCACCTTGAGCTGAAAAGCGCAGGGACAGCACCCAAGCCCAGAGTTCAAGCCCCATGACCGACCCTCCCCCCAAAAAAAATGCTCTACTAAGAGTCCACCTCTGCCCCTGAGATTTTTTACTCAATGCTAGCACTCTACCACTTAAGCCACAGCTCCACTTCAGGCATATTGGTGGTTAACCGGAGTCTCCCAAACTTTTCTGCTTAGGATGGCTTCCAATCATGATCATCAGATCTGGTAGCTATCATACATAATCCTAGAACACAGAGATCTGAGGATTGTGGTTTAAGGCCATCTGGAACAGGCTATTCTGTGAGCCTTTTATCTCCTGTTAACCCCAAGAAAGCCAAAACTGAGGCTCAAGTGGTAGAATACAGGCCTTGAGCAAAAAAGCTATGGGATATCACCCAGGCCTGGAATACAATCCCTAGTACCTGTACAAAGGAAGTAATGGGGCTAGGTGCCAGTAGCTCACACCTCTAATCCTAGCTCTGAGGAGGTTGAGAGCTGAGGACCACAGTTCAAAGGCAGCCCCAACAGAAAAGTCTGTAAGACTCTTTATCTCCAATTAATTACCAAAAACCAAGAAGGAGAGCTGTAGCTCAAGTGTAGAGCACTAGCCTTGAACTCAGAGTGAATGTGCCCAGACACTGAGCTAAAGTCTCAGGACTGGCACCGGGGAAAGGGGGGGTAGGGTACGGGGAATGGTGGGGGGTGGCTTAGTGGTAGAGTGCTAGCCTTGAGCTAGGGACAGTGTTCAGACCCGGAGTTCAAGCCCCAGGACTTGCAAAAAAAAAAAAAGGAGCCAATTATTAGTGGCTCAGACATGTAATCTTAGCTACTCAGGAGGCTGAGGTTGGAGAATTGAGGTAGGAAGTGAACCCTGGCAGAAAAGTCTACAGACTCTATCTTGGAAAGCTTGGCTGGAGGCATGATTCCATGCAGAAAACAAGAAACACTTGCTCTATGGTGACCCCTGCTGCTCAAAGTTACCAGTCATCTAATTATTCTTCAAGCTTTATAGACAGACCAGAATTAATTTTTAGGTAGCATATAGCTATGGAGAGAGAAGGCTATATTATCCTGTAAGCTTTGTATGTTATGGTAACTTAGTCCTAGCCAATGAGATAAAAAGCAAAAAGTGACATGTGTGATTTTTAGGAGTATCCTTAGGAAAGGATGTGCCACTTCTTTCCTTTTCAATTCTGTCCTCAGAATATTTTAAAACAACTGGTACTGTATCTTGAGTCATGAAACTGAAGACCACAGTTTTAAAGAAAAGCAGGAAGCCAGAAAGTTTCCAAATTACTGCAGAACACAGCTTAAAACTGTCAACATCCTCACATCATAGGAGAAAATAAATTTCTATTCTTTTAAAGCCAATTTTGGTTTCTGCCTCTGACACATACAGCTAAAGTTACTAGTGTATTTTCTTTCATTTTTTTTTCTTTTTTTGGGTCGTGGGGCCTGAACTCTGGGCCTGGGTGCTGTCCCTCAGCTCTTCAGCTCAAGGCTAGCACTCTACCACTTGAGCCACAGCGCCACTTCCAGCTTTTTTTTTTCTTTTTTTGCTTATGTGGTGCTGAGGAATTGAACCCAGGGCCTCATGCATGCAGGCAAGCGCTCTCTACCTCTGAGCCACCTTCCCAGCCCACTAGTGTATTTTATTTTGATCTTAAAATTATCTTTCACAAGATGAAAAATTATGAGGATTGGTTGCACAATATTGTGAATCTACTTAACAATACTGTGTAATACTTAAAAAGTTAAGATGGTACATCTGTTAGAAGTATTTTATCATAAAAAATTTAAAGATGTTTTCACATTTAATAGCTGTAAAATAATGTTATATCTTATAGCTAAAAAATCAAGGCCTGGGTTCCATTGCTCAGTACCACATACACAGAAAAAGACAGAAGTAGATTGTTAGCCTTTAGCAAAAGAAGTTCAGGGACAGTGCCCAGACCCTGAGTTCAAGTCCCAGGACTGGCAAAAAAAAAAAAAAAGTAAGGTGGTGTGTGTGTCAGTGGCTCACGCCTGTAATCCTAGCTACTCAGGAGGCTGAGATCTGAGGATCACAGTTCAAAGCTAGTCCCAGCAGGAAAGTCCATGAGACTCTTATCTTCAATTAACCACCAGAAAACCAGAAGTGGACTGTGGCTCAAAAGGTAAGGCACTAGCTTTGAACTAAAGAGCTCAGGAACAGTGGCCAGGCCCAGAGTTCAAGCCCCACAACCAACAAAATAAAAAAAACAAATAAAAGAATAAACAGGGCTGGGAATGCAGATTAGTGGTAGAGTGCTTCTTGCCTAGAATGCATGAAGCCCTGGGTTCCATGCCTCAGTACCACATAAACAGAGAAGGCTGGAAGTGGTGCTATGGCTCAAGTGGTGGAGTGCTGGCCTTGAGCAAAAGTGCCCGGGCCTGGACTTCAAGTCCCAGGACTGGCCAAAAAAAAAAAAAAAAAAGCATTTTATGGTATCTCTGATGATATATAGTGAACAAAACCAATGATGGGGTACTCCACACAGCAATCCCAATCTCTTATGACCCAAAATCTCAAAACCAGCTTAGATGATATGCTTCAAATCAGAAACAGCGAAAAAGGACTTTGTTTAGATGACCATAATACAAATGGAAACCACAGGGCCTAGAGATTGCTGAATCAATAGATGTTATTTATGCCCTAATCCCTTTTTTCTTTGTAAATTCCTAGAAGACTTCTATGGCCTTTTTACTTTATATTTCTTTCTTTCTTTTTTTTGTCGTGAGGCTTGAACTCTGGGCTTGGGCACTATCCCTCAGCTCTTCAGTTCAAGGCGAGTGCTCTACCACTTGAGCCACAGCACCACTTCTGGTTTTCTAGCGGGGGTTTATTGGAGATAAGAGTCTCATGAACTTTCCTGCCCAGGCTCACTTTGAACCATGATCCTCAGATCTCAGCCTCCTGAGTAGCTAGGATTACAGGCGTGAGCCACCGGTGCCGGGCTTTACTTTATATTTCTATGGTAGTTACCTACGAAATACATAAAAACAAAAACAAAATGCTACAATAAAAATAATTTATTACCCATTTAATCTGTGAATTACAAAAGAAAAAATATAGCAAAAGGTTGACTATTATTATACAACAACACAATAAAATACTTAAAGAAATGATAAGCTGGTGGACTGGCTCAAGTAGTAGAGCACTTGCTTTTATTTATTTATTTTTGGGTCCAGTCATGGGGCCTGAACTCTGGGCCTAGGCACGGTCCCTCAGCTCTTCAGCTCAAGGCTAGTGCTCTACCACTTGAGCCACAGCATCACTTCTGGCTTTTTTCTTTTTGCTTATGTGGTGCTGAGGAATCGAACCCAGGGCCTTGAGCATGCAAGGCAAGCGCTCTACCACTGAGCCACCTTCCCAGCCCCGAGCACTTGCTTTTAGCACAGTACTACACACACGCACACACACAAACACCTGAATAATCAAAAAATGAAAACAAAACATTTGAAGGAACAAAAGAAGTTTGGGAAGCTAGAAGCCAGTAATCCTAGCTATTCAGGAATCTGAGATCTCAGGATCTTAGTTCAAAGCCAGCATGGGGAGGAAAGTATATGATATTCTTACCTCAAATTAAACACCAAAAAGCTTGAAGTGGAGCTGTGTGTGGTAGAGTGCTAGCTTTAAGCAAAAAAGCTAAAGGACAGATCCCAACTCGAGTTCAAGCTCCATTACTGGCACATGCACACGTGTGCATGTGTGCGCATGTACACGTGTGCATGTGTGCGCATGTGCATACACACAAGCTTTATAATGGTATAATTCACATACATAAAATTCAATGGCATTAAAGCATATACTTTAATGACTTTTTGTAAATTTTATTTATTTTTGGTGGTGATGGGGTTTGAACTCAGGTCTTGGTAAGCTACGTAAGCCTTCTAACTTTGGTTGGAGGTAAATCCCCAACTCCATAATTCTATTTTATAATTTTTTTTTTTTTTGGTCAGTCCTGGGGCTTGAACTCTGGGCCTGGGCACTGTCCCTGAGCTCTGCAGCTCAAGGCAAGCACTCTACCACTTGAGCCACAGCA